TTTGGGAAGTTATGAGCAAAATTATCAATACACGTTTTACTTATCAATCTAGTCGGCTCTTTCAACGCCAATTTAAGATTATAATTCAAAAGTAGACATTGAAACTCTAATGTCATACTGTTTCTTTTTAAAACATCGATATTAAAATCACCCGCTATTATAATATTACTGAATTTTTTCCTACTTAGGAGCGATAGTAATTGGTCCATCTTGGAGAAAAAAACATTCACATGTGCCGCTTTAGGAACCCTATAGATGCATACTATTGCAGTCCTATGGAGTACCAATTCCATCGCACAACACTCGAATATACCCGGCAATGAAAGCTCTGCTACCTTGGGTAATGCCTTCCATTGATGGCATTTTTTAATTAAAATACAAACTCCGCCTCGCTTAGAGTTTTTTCTGCTAAAGTGGGAAGCTAACTGGTAATTGGAGACGGATAGAAATTTTTCATAGCCGGCCATAATAAAGTGCTCCGTTACACACACTACGTCAACATTTACATTCTTTTCAGATAGTTCCTCTAAACAGACAACAAGTGAATCAGACTTGCTTAATAATCCAGCTATATTTTGATGTAAAATATTTAAAGTAATTCTAGAGAAGTACAGATTTTTAGGAGAGAAAAAAATTGTTATTTGTAGCTGATCGTGTTTGCATGGCCTCGCTCTGACAAATTACATCCCTGCTATTGTAAATTTCAATGTCAAAAATTATTTTTTTTAAATTGTCAAATATATTTTCCATGCCTTTATTATTCAATTTACCATTGTGTGAAAACATGTCATAATCGTAAGATAATTCTAAATTAGAGTCCAAAATATAAGCGTATTTATGCGAAAATATGTCAAAACTTAATATATTGTTAAATGTTTCAATTCTACAGTTAAACATTTTAGAGTATTCGTTACATCTATAAGTTGGAGCACATAATATAATATTAGTATGATTTAGATTTTGTAATGTCTGTCGCAATTGCATAACAATTTCAAAATAATTAAGAGTGGTTAAGAAATCTTCTTCACCGATTAATATGATACAATAGTCTTCCATTGTGTACTCTGTTAATTTATTTTCTAGGTTTTCAATCATCTTCTGGATACCACAATTCGGTGTTATATAATGAAATATGCGATGATCTTGGAAAGAAGTCTCTGCGATATCCAGTATTCTGTTCTTATTATTGCTACTAACAAAGCAAATTTTTTTAGAAAAATGTTTACTAGGTCTGATTCGCTTGCTTATCACGGCTGTATCATTACAATTTTTTTGAGTTTGTTTCTCCTTTTCTATTTTGTCTATAATTATATCCGATGATTGCGGTGAAAAAATATTACTGCTTTCCCTTCTTGGAGTAGAGGAAATATTAATGATTTTATTACTTTGGCCATTTGTTTTTTTAGTACTTTCATTTGAGTTTTTTTCTTGTAAAACCGTTTTTAGATTTCTATTTTCCAATGACAGGTTATTTATTTCTTCCTTAGCCAACGCCAAATCAATATTTAGTTTGTCTATCTGTTTTTTTAATGTCTGTATTTGTTCGTTTTCATCACTATCGCCATCTAATGAGATATTTGGTACGCTACTCGCAGTGCCATCTAGTGGTGAATCGCTTAATTTGTCATCTTCACTAGTTCTTTCACTCGGAGAAATTGATCTTCGTCTGCGGTATGTAATGTTCTCGGAATTCATTTTACAAATATGTAGAATATTATAATGAAAAACAATTCCTTTTAAAAAAATGTATTAGTTCGCTGAGGATTTAAACAGTCGATCTCTGGGTGTCGGCGCAATGCCTTATCCACTGTTCCAACTAGGCTTGAAGACTGTTGACGAAATTTAGTATCATTTCATGTGTTATATTACGTTTGTTAAGTCCGTTAGTGACGATTGATTTGAAACCGATACTGGAAGTCAAACTACCTTCTTCACAAATAGCGTTTATGTTTTAACTTCACAAAACTGTTTCAATGTCTATTCTAATAAGTTATCCACCCATAAGTGTGAATCCTTTTACCGCTTGCATTAGTTATTTTCGTTTATTTTGGTTTATTATCTGTACAAACTTTGCACTTATCACACATTTTCACTGTTGCAGTTTTTTCACTTTTATGTCGAAGTTACCGTATGAAAACTTCCACAAACAATAAACGGTACAATTTATGCTCACTTTTAAATAATTATTACTTTACTTGATTGAAATCACTTGTTTTTGTATTTTTAAATTAAACTTTTGTACGCAGCCGATGTTTACATGGCTAGCAGCGCCATCTGTGGATTGTTCTAAATAGGTCTTAAGTTATTAACGGTTTCATTTGATGAGCGACTTGATGCTCATAGATGGTACCATCAAGTGCGCACGCTACAGTAGGGTACGTACCAACCGTTAGCACATGTAACACGATATGAGTGAAGGCCTTCGCAAAAAAAACCAGTGAAATGCGAGTCAGATTCGTGCACGAAGAGTTACGTAATATCTATTCAAAATTAGGCACTAATATATTATCATATTGAGCAAAAAATCACGTTTGTTGTGTGGGAGCCCCCCTTAAATATTTATTCAGTTTATGAGATACAACCTGGTGTCAGACAGACAAACGGATAGTGGTGAAATCTAAGTAATAGGGTCTCATTTTTACCCTTTGGATACGGAAACCTAAAATGATTTCCAACGCCTTTGTTAATGTAATAGCTCTATCTGCAATATTTGGCTGAATACCTACTTCTTACTTTGAACTTTCCATAGTACAGGAGTTCCCATATTATTATTATATTAATAATGGAACAAAATCACGATCGGTAATAATCTCGGCGCTTTCCTCCATCTTCGATGTTGCGGCCGCAAATGAGAAAGACTTGTCATGAATACCCATGAAATCGTTTCAATCGCACACCCAAACGCATCACGCGCCGTCATACAAATTTATAACGCCGTCATTCAAAATTATTGTCAAATTCTGATCAAGCCCGTAGTACGCTTGACGGTAGTGTCAAGTCAACGCGGTAACGATCAATATTCGCTTCAATTACGTAGACTTGACAAGTCGCCTTTTTCGTCTCCGGGACCTATAAAATGATCATGATAAAAAGAAAAAGTACTAAATTCGCGTGGGTCTTGTTGGGGGGTGTATGCTTCCTGGCAAGACCCCATATAATCGTTGATAGCGATCAAGCTACTGATGTATTTTTTTTAACTTTACCACAAATTTATGCAAATTTTGTATTTTTTTTTCTATAAGTCATATATTATTTGTATATGACTGGGTCTTGCCAGGGAGTATCACTTCTGACGGGGCCACCTTAAGGCTAACAATCAGCAATTGGCCCGTTTTCGAGACTTTCAGCAGATATGCGGTAAGTTTGTCTCCAACGCAAGCTTTTCGTGTCAGATGAGCGAGTGCTGATTTATCTCGAGTATAGTAGTGGTATAGGAGTATATCTGGTTCTTAACACTTAACTAGATCTTTATCAATTAGTAGTCTCAGATTCTCGACCTAGTCCAATTTCGGGCTTTTCAAACATTTCTTTTTTATGATTTTCGGACCGTTCTATCTCCAGACATAAAAAGCTGAATAAGAAATTTATATCTCGTCTGCTTAATCTATGCATTGAGCAATGGGGTTTCCGATATTGTTACCCAAAAACTGAGCCCGATTAACTTTCTTTGAGGCATCATCTTTTGGTTATGGCAGACAACATTTCATCGCTCATTCATTAAGATTTAATTGCGTGTACCCTATGTTAACTCTTTTGCTGGCTCTATGGCCCCAGGCTTCAGTTTTTCTTACGAAGTGTTTGCTGATTGGATAGGGTCCTTTCAAGGTAACTTAGACGTGGGTCTACTAACCTTCCATACATTTTCTTCGTTTATGCAGGGAAATTAATTCACTTCCACATTTTAGGCGGATTATTATTGTAGTAACTTATAGTAAATGGTCACAATCTGCGCCAGAACGAGTTTTGGTGGAGAAAACCAAAACATTAGTATGATCTTTAAAATATTGACATATAAAAGGTTAAAAATAGCTACCATTTTTTTATGAGGGAAATTCCCTTTCATTGGGTCAGTACACAGTTATTTAAACTATGTATACTTAGTATAATGAAGAGATAACGTTTCGGTTTGGGGCGTAAGCTGATAAAACCTATCCTTATGGTCTCCATTATTCTCTGTATACTAAATAATAATATACGTCTCAGAGAGAGTGAGTAAAGTTTTTACTGAAACTTGAAAATTGGGCCTCTCTCAGTTGATTTCAATTCTGGTAAGATTTTCTAAACCTAAACTTATATTTGACATCCTTTTCATTCTTTATAAAGTATCAAAAGGAGAGACTAAGAGTATATGAGAATTACGCCAAAATCGACACCAACGTACAGACTAATACTACTCGCATATCCATATTTTGTCCATTAGAAAATAATAAGGGTATAGCAATCTTGGAATTTTATACTATTTATATGTCGATTTGATGATCTGATCAAAATCTGACTTGAATAATGGCTACCCTAGATGCACTAGATACCGTGGGTGTTCCCTTACGGCAACAAACACAATTATGAGGACTAAAATGAAAGATTTTAACATACTTAAAAAAATAATTTACTTTTCATTAATATCTGTTTGGACACAAATAAGAAATTAACTTTAAACACACATAATAATTCAACAAAGTCATAGGAACTAATCAGTCTGGTCAACTTAAAGACTAGAATAAATTATTTTGTACAGAGTATTTACAAATATTATACACTGGTGGAGATCCATCGTAGGGTTTGGAACGTTGTGCGAGCGGCGAGCGGTTCAGTCGACCTCCTCGACGGTGGGCCCGGAGTGCGGTGCCCGCTGCTGCGCGCCCGCGCCCGCGCCCGCGCCCGCGCCGTGCATCTTGCTCATGAGGGGCGCGCACACGCGCTGCAGCTCCTTGAGCCGGTGCTCGAACTCGTCGCGCTCGGCCAGCGTGTTGTTGTCGATCCAGCGCAGCGCCTCGTCGCACTCGCGGCGCGCCGTCTCCTTGTCCTGCTCGCTGAGCTTGTCGCCCGCCTCGTCCAGCGCCTGCCGCACGTTGAACGCGTACGACTCCAGCTGGTTGCGCGCCGACACCCGCTGCCGCTGCCGCTCGTCCTCCTCCTTGTACCGCTCCGCCTCCGACAACATGCGGTCGATCTCGGCCTGCGACAGCCGCCCCCTGTCGTTCTTGATAACGATGTTCTTCTCGCGGCCCGTGCTGTTCTCTTTGGCCGACACGTTCAGGATGCCGTTGGCGTCCAGGTCGAAGGTGACGTCGATCTTCGGTACCCCGCGTGGTGCAGGCGGGATGCCGGTCAGATCGAACCGACCCAGCAGGTTGTTATCTTTGGTCATGGCGCGCTCGCCCTCGTACACCTGGATGGTGACAGCGGGCTGGTTGTCTGAGTAGGTGGTGAACGTTTGCGACTGCTTGCAGGGTATCTTCGCGTTTCTCTCTACGATCTTCGTCATCACTCCGCCCGCGGTTTCGATGCCGAGCGATAGGGGCGCCACGTCCACCAACAGCACGTCTTGGATCTTGCTATGCTGCTCGCCGCTCAAGATGGCCGCCTGTACCGCGGCGCCGTATGCCACCGCTTCGTCGGGGTTGATGGACAGGTTCAACTGCTTGCCGCAGAAGAAGTTCTGCAGCATGCTCTGAATCTTGGGAATGCGCGTGGAGCCGCCGACGAGCACCACGTCGTGGATCGAGCTCTTGTCCAGCTTGGCATCCTTGAGCGCCTTCTCCACCGGCTCCAGAGTGCCTCGGAACAAGTCAGCGTTCAGTTCTTCGAAGCGAGCGCGCGACACTCGCGTGTAGAAGTCGATGCCCTCGTGCAGCGCGTCTATCTCTATAGTGGCCTCCGTGCTCGACGACAGCGTCCGCTTGGCTCGCTCGGCGGCGGTGCGCAAGCGGCGTAGGGCGCGCGGATTGCTGCGAATGTCCTTCCTGTACTTGCGTTTGAACTCCTCCGACAGATGGTTGACGAGTCTGTTGTCGAAGTCTTCCCCGCCGAGGTGCGTGTCTCCGGCGGTGGCCTTTACTTCGAACAGTGAGCCCTCGTCGATGGTGAGTATGGACACGTCGAAGGTTCCGCCGCCGAGGTCGAAGATCAGAACGTTCCGCTCGCCCTTGAGGTTCTTGTCGAGGCCGTAGGCGAGGGCGGCGGCGGTGGGCTCGTTGATGATGCGCAGCACGTTCAGGCCGGCGATGGCCCCCGCGTCCTTGGTCGCCTGTCGCTGGGAGTCGTTGAAGTAGGCGGGCACGGTGATCACTGCGTCCCTCACCGTCGATCCCAAATACGCTTCCGCCGTCTCCTTCATCTTCGTCAGAACCATGCTGCTGATCTCCTCCGGTGCGAACCTCTTGGTTTCCCCTTTGAAGTCGACCTGTATCTTGGGTTTGCCGCAGTCGCTGACAACTTTGAAGGGCCAATGTTGCATGTCTTGCTGAATCTTCGGGTCGTCAAACTTGCGGCCAATGAGTCGTTTCGCGTCGAACACCGTGTTGCTGGGGTTGAGAGCGACCTGGTTCTTTGCAGCATCGCCGATCAGTCGCTCTGTGTCTGTGAATGCGACGTACGATGGAGTGGTTCGGTTGCCTTGGTCGTTAGCGATGATCTCCACGTTTCCATGTTGCCAAACTCCGACACACGAGTATGTGGTTCCAAGATCTATTCCTACAGCTGGCATTGTGGCTTCAAGTTCACTTTTCGTATATTCCAATCCAAATATGTGACGATTACTTTGTAGCTTCGTAGATTGTTTGGGTGTTTCCACCGAGTTTTGTTTGTTTCGTTTCCGAGTTTATTCGAATACTGAATGCCTTGCCGCGCTTTTCGGCGCTATTTATACCCCAAGACTGCGAGCCAATCACGCTCTAGCACGGTCTAGAAAGATCTACAGCTGCACCAATGAAATTCCATTTAGAGTAGAATATTCCAGAGAGGTCGACCCTATCAGCCAATGTCGTGGTAGTGACAGGGAGATCGCTCTATGTGTGAGTGAGACAGCTATAACAACAATGGATTACAAATTACTTCAGGGATGCCTGGTTTTAAATTTACCACGAATGTTCGGTACTTAATGTCACGCGTTTTTTACGGGAAGTATATTTTATTATAACTTTTTTATTGTTTTTGGAATAAAATTACGAATTTTAGTATTGTGTATTTTTAACAATTTACAGTTTCAAAATTCACTATATAGTGAAGGTGGTTATTTATTGTGTTGGGTTTAGACATGATGTGAATTTAAAGAATTTGCGGAGATCTTTTCAACGTATAATTCTAGTATTCTCTGTCTCAATTCAGGTAACAAACTAAGTAGGTATATGTGTTTAACTTTGGATGTAAAAAAAGAAATCTAAACCCAAGACAATAAATAACCTTCAGTCTCCATTTGTTTCTTTGTTTTTAAGGTTTAACTATAATGCGAAGGCATGGCGCTGCCTTGCAGTCCAAGAAATACTAGAGAAAATGCGACACGGCCAGCAGGGCCGCGGTAGCATATTGGTCAGTGCATTCGCCCAGATAGCGAACGGTATGGGTTCGAGTCCCGTCTGCTGCCTGGTACGCGTGGAGTTATTTCTAGTAAATTTTTTTTAGATTTAAACATCTAGCAGTAAGCTTAAAAAAAACTATGTGTGTGCCAAATTTCATCTTAATCCGTTCAGCAGTTATGAAATATGTAAAATATTAGATCTATAATATTAGTAGCATTATTTTTATACTACCACAGCATCAAACAAGTGGAATTTATTAAAAAAATATTTATACTAATAATATTATACATGTTTTTAACTATAAATATATAAATAATGGGTTAAGAGAGGTTTGGACATAGCGTATTTTCCCGCACGAATTGAATTACCTGTTCGTTCTGGGCCATTTTCATATGTGACAGGAAAGTGATTCACATTAATCTTTTAATTTTTGGTACTACGGGCTACAGTGAGTATGGATTCCAGGGCTACACGGGGTAGGGAAGGGGTAAGGGTAGGCAACGCTAGTGTACGGTATAGCTTCTATAGACTATGGCAGCCGCTTACCATTAGGCGAGCCGTGTTCTCGTTTCTTATCATGTTTACAAAAAAGTTTAATGTAAAAAATTACACTTTTTTGTAGTACACAAAAAATAGAGGTATCATCCATATTTTTTGTAATGCTTTCATTTTTAATATCTATGTAGTTATAAAACTTTAATATTTTAATTTCACAAGTACTTAGTTCTTATATTACTAAATGGTAATTTTAAACATGTGATCGGGTATCATTTTTCTAGAACATTTATTTGCTATCTCTCTCATAATTTACTTGATGTCAATATGCTGTCTCGTTTGTCCGCGGTTGAGACGCAGTTATTGATTTTTCTTAGTCTGTCTCTATCACTCATGTAGCTGCGTCACTTTTTCTCTAGAATGTTCCAGAGTTGTAACCCAAGCAAATTCAATATGAGTTTAGAAAGGGCATTCAACGTTTGATCGTGGACCTTTTGTATTGGTAGGATTTTACGATGACGTGAGACTATAAAAGGCGAAGCTCTGGTTCCCCCGGCGAGATACCTTTTCCGTTAGTCTAGTGGTGAGGTTCCATAATTATTATGTAGAGTTTTTTATTATAACTGTTAGTTAGAGGAAGGTTTTTATTTTAAAATGTTCCAATAATCATCAGAATATTAAGTACATAAAAATGTGAAGCCTTAAAAAAGTAGGAGGTGTCAAGCCCTTCTCTCAATACAAAATGGCGCAGTCGTCGCCCGGTTGAAAACCTGTGCTAGAACCATACAATCAGAACAAAACCATTGAAGAGGCGTCTTCTTGGAAACAAGGTGGGTAGAGACCAATTTTAAATTATTTATGACTACGTTAACTTTGAGATTAACATTGTTTTAGGGAATTGCGTTGTAATTTGACCTTGACCTTTTAGGTGTCTTTAGAGTACATTTTCTCTACTTATTAGTTAAATAAGAATAGTTATTAATAATAACAACGAAATACAATCTTTAATTGGTATAATGCATATTTTTAAGATCAAGCTAAACAAAGAAACACGTTACGTAAGAACTACGTGTCCAAATTGCAAAACAAAATGGCGGCGGCCAACAAAAGATGATCTCATTGAAATTGCGCATTTATTTGTGTTTACAAGATGTTATGAAATAAGCTTGAAATTAAGTTAAGGATTATTATTTAAACAATCAAGTATTTTATTAAAGAAAGAATTTGGAATAAAATATTTTGCGCCTAAAGGTGAACTCGTAATGGATGTAGAGTTTGATGTAGAATTTAGTGCATCGTCATCACTATGTTTCTTTGACCTTCATTTGTTAGGAAATTATGGGTTAATAAAATAATTTGAATAAAACCCTAAAAAACATTATCTACAATATTAACACATACAAATATAAAAATAGAATGCGTCGGGTATTATTCAATATCTGTCTGAATTATTTTGTGTGCGTTTTAAAACAACATGGAATTCAAAGACAATTCTTTAATTCTAAGTTTACAAATTATAGGCAGGCGATCTTATCAGAATCATTATGACGGTTACGTAGCAAAACCGGATGATGAGATTAACAAATGCGATTTGCCACAACCATAACAAAAACAATGACAGCTTGTGAATATTTCAGGGAACTTAATAGATGATACTTAGCATTATTTTAAGTTTTTGTGTGTGTTTTTATTTTCAGACATTCCGACACAGGCTGGTAGCGTATTGCAATTTTGATTTGCAATGAGAGCGTAGCTTTGTTGACGCAGGCGGAAATTTTGCAGTCAGGCGGTTTTTTTGCGTTGGCCCATTCCGTAAATCTTTCGATACTTGATTTTGCGGATAAAAAGATAAGCGGAACAACATAGTTTTAAAGAATTCATTAATTATGTAAGACAAATCAATAAAAAGTAAAACTGAATAGTTGTTTATGAGCAAACCTTAAAAGAAAATTTATTACCCAAGAAGTTAGACATTCTTTTATTTATTTCCTATCATTAAACGATTTTTCACAGGATAAGAATGTGCCAACGAAATGTGTAACAAGTTCAAACAAGTTATCATCGGACTCGGCGAGCGTTTATTGGTCGAGCTTTATAGGTGGAATTCAACAAACATACAATGGTAGTACAATTTATAGATATAAGTTATTCTTTACCTGCATTTTTCGAAAAGTAGGGATATGAGTTTTCTTCAAACTGGTTATTTCAAACTTAAAGATTAAGGTCTGGTAATAACGTAGGTATTGCATTATTTTTAGAAACGAAAGAAGAGATTACGGAAACACGTTTTAGTTGCTAAGGTTTTCAAAATACTTTTCTAGAGCTAAGTTGTGACATCGTAAGAAATAAATAGTTATAGAGGCGAAACATCATACTAACCATAACCTATATAGGTACTCCTCATGTTTTTGATTATTTTAATCAAAAACCATTTTTTTGCATTCAGTAGGAAACTTATTTGAAAATTATGGCATTAGTTGATCTCGACATGTTCTTCATACGATTTTTTCTTAGGGATGTAATTTTTTTTTATTTTTGTTATTGTATGAATTGATTTTATTCGTTTAAGAGATTCGAAAATATTTGATCAGCTAGATTCAGTCACTTTTTGGAAATAGAGTTAGTCTTTTGACAACTATTTTTAAATTGGGTACATCGGGAAAATTCGCAGTTTAAAGTTTAGAATTTGTAATATAATAATACTAAGGATATGATTTACTGTTTGTCGATGTAGAGATGCGAATTCTGAGTGTCCTTATAGACTTCGTTTAATTTCAGATTTTTTAATCATCTGTTCCGAAAATTTTAACAATATAAATAAAACATAATTTACCTTTTTCAATTAACGTGACGTAAATAGTATACGTACTAAGGTGTAATTTTCAATTAATTTCAATTAAAATAGTGAAGAATATGATAATGACATCTATACTAATTCTTAGATAAATCCTGAAAAAAAATCTCGACTTAAAATATATCAAGAAATCAGCAGGCAAAATTAAAATTTTGTCTCCGAATATTGTTACAGTAGTAACTCTTCCGATATTTCATTACCTATGCCAATAAATAAATTTTATAGAAAAACATGGATTAACGTATTTTTTGATTATGTAAGACAAATCAATAAAAAGTAAAACTAAATAGTTGTTTATAAGCAAACCTAAAAAGATTTTTTTTCCTATCATTTAAACTATTTTCCTTAGAATAAGAATCTGTCAACGACATTTTTAACAAGTTATCATCGGATTTGCGAGTGTTGTTTGTTCGAGCTGTACTGGTGGAATTCAACAAACATGGAATGGTACCTAGTAAAATTTATAGAATTAAGTTATTCGTTACCTGCAGTTATCGAAAAGTAGGGATATGACTTTTCTTCAAACTGGTTATAACAAACTTAAAGATTTAGGTCTGTTTAATAACGTAGGTATTGCAATTATTTTTAGAAACTATAGAACAGATTACAAAAAGCTGCCCGGTCTAGCTGCTAAGGTTTTCAAAATACTTATCTAGTGCTAAGTTGTGACATCGTAAGAAATAAATATTTATAATTATAGAGACAAAACATATGAGACTAACCATATCATATATAGGTCCTTCTCATATTTTTGATTGTTTAAATCGAAAACCATTTTTGTGCCTTCATAGGAAACTTATTTAAAAAATATGGCATTAGGTAGTTGATCTCAACATGTTCTTTAAACGATTTTTTTACGGATGTAAATTTTGATGATATTAGCTAAAGTATAAATTGATTTTATACGTTTAGAGTTTCGAAAATATTTATGAGCTAGATTCACTATAGTTATTTTTTGGAAATAGAGTTAGTCTTTTGACACCTTTTTTTAAATTAGGTACATCTGGAATATTCATAGTGA